GCTTATTGTCTGTCCCCCACATTATGATAACATTCATAAGCGCAGGTACCAGGTGTGACTTGTTCCCTGCTGAATCCCAAGACTAAGGATAGTGTCAGGTACTTGTTGAATGAATGGAAGTGTCATCTACATGATAAATTCCAAACTCTGCACTTGGGCATTCAATCTTTTCTAGATCTCCCTAGACTCATCTTGGCAGTCTCATCTCCTGTAGGACCACATCATGTTGGAGCCTGATGTGGTGTGGCCAGGTCCTGGCAGTTCTGAGGCCACCAGAGCACTGAGGGCCAATCAGGTACACATTCTGTCAGCTACAGTTGGGGCTCGACCTGAAGTACATGTGCCCAATACAAGCACTAAGTGTCTCTCCCTCTGTAAAAGGCAGCCACCACCCTGGAAGCCTCCATTTGACAAATGGTGCTAAGGCCTTTGCCCATGCTCTTCTAACAGTAGGGCCCAGACACTGGTAGGAGTTTCAGAAAACAGGCTACCCCAGCACTGACTGCCTCTAATAGCCTCTGTCTGACATGGGTGGAGTTGACACTTGCTGGTCTGGGCTCAAGTGGAAATGTGCAGATCTTGGAGGACAAGCTCAGCTGCATAGCCAGAATGGGGAGCCTAGCCCTATCCCAGCCTTGCTGCCTGGTGCTAGAATCTTCAGGTGTCAGAATCATAAGAGACCCATAGTGGGTGCTTTTCCTCAAGAGTCTTCAGGGTGCAGCTCAAAGGGCTAAAAACAAAGACCACAATCCAAGCAGGCTTTCTAGGAGAAGCACACATAACCCTCCACCCATACCTTCATTACTCCTCATATGCAGAGAGCTATGGAACTCCAAGTGGCACACTCCCGATGCTCTGAGGCTGGGATGCCTGGAAATGCCCTGGGCAGGCAGGCAATGGAGTCTGGCACAAGTGTTGAGGCCCACAGGCTCTTCCCTCTCTCCCACCAAACCTTGCCTGGCCAGGCAGCCCCTCTGCTCCAAGCCTTCTCCAGTCACCCTCCCTGGCACCCTCCTATGGGAATACAAAGGCTCAGATGCCTTGGGATTAGCCTAGGGTAACACCCAGTGCCTTCTTATTCCTAGAGGCCCCAGCATTTCATTTGGCTGCTTTGACAAACAACAAAGGTTCTCCACACACCTACCTTCCCTCAGAAACCTAGGAAGGTCAGACACAAAAGGACCCATGTCAAGCCTGACTCCAAGATCTGCACATTTTCATGAGCTTCAGCCCCCACCCCATGGAAGCCATTGGCCTGTGGCCACAGGAAGGTATCAGCCTTGGTCAGTTGCTGTCTCAGCCCAATGCCAGCCCCTTTCCTCACCAATCAGACGGCTTCAGAGGCAGGATGTCCCTGGCCAGAGTCAGCATCCGTTGGTCTGTCTGTGAAGCCTCCAATCAGAGATGAGCCCCTGGGGACTCATTAGCACCTGAAGCCAGCAGAGACCACCTGGCACTCCTGTCCCTAGGCCAGTATGTTCTTTGAACTCCCACGAAACTGGCAGCTTCCCAGTCAGAGAGCCGCCCCACTTTGCCCAATGCCAGCATGGGAGTCTGGCTGTAACCCGGAGGTGCTCATGTCCACAGCTGAGGCAAGCTGAAGGTCCTGGCCCAGGGTGGCACCTGCCCGCCAGAGAAGCTGTCCTGCCTGCTGGCTAAATGGCTGGCCCTCTCACTGTGGGCCCTGCACACTCCAGGCTGTCAGCAGATGAGGGCTGGCTGCTGGGCTGCCCAACTGTAGAAGCTGCTTGTCTGCCCAGACCCAGAAGCCAGCCCTTCCCACACTCCCTGAGGAGCCCTCTCTTACATAGAGCATGCATCACTCAGGGCTTTGCGTCTGGGGACTCAAAGCCACCAGCTCACTACCCTCACACACCTGCCTTCCAGCCTTCGTAACAGTCCTGGCCAGCCTACCTAGCCAGAGGGCAAGCCAGTGAGAAACCTAAGAGAGAAGAGGTACCTGGTGTGGGGCAGGGCTGAGGGAAAGTACATTTCTTCCCCTCCAGGGCTCCCTGAACTTGGCCTCCAAGAGGGGCTGGCATTGAGGAAAGGAAAGTAAGCAAGATCCCTTGGATGGTGAGTCATTTGCTCCTTTTGAAGAAGCCAGGATCTTAGACTGCTCCCAGGTACAACACAGCCCCCATTTTCTCCCCCACCCACATGCCCACCTTATTCTGCCTGCCTCCCCCAGCTTCTGTGAAGCCAACCTGAGACAGAAAAGCTGGAATATTGAGTTTCAGCTTCTGCTGGGGCCTGCCCAGCAGGATAGCACAACCACAGGCTTACAGTTTTTCGCACTTGCACACACAGCTTGGGGGACTGTACCCTCTCTCAGAGGACTGTGTGAGGCAGCTTATGTGGGACCCTGTGCACAAAGCCCAGGACACATACAGGTGCACATATCTGCATGTGGCAGCAAGAGTTTTCAAGAATGCACACCAAGCCAAACACAGGAGTTAGTTCTGGGGTGGCTTGACATTGGGGGGCAAGGGGCTTTGTTAGGTACACCTGTAATATCTGCATTTTTCAAGAGTGCATTGTCAAGTAGGATTTGTGTAATCCAATATTACTTAAATGCAACATGCTGGCACAGAGTACATTCACCAGAGGAAGTAGTGGTCAGAATTGACTGCTTTTTATGCAGAAGGCTTTTCCGCAGAGGGCATGCCCTAAAGGCCAGACTTGCATGACCAAGGCAAAGCCAGCCCTCCCTTCAGGAGGTAATCAGGCCAGAATTGCTCTCTGAGGACCCTGGTTGGAGGCATTCTGGCCATCCATTCGCTTCTCCTGGGTGCCATGGATGTGGAAGGCAATGGAAGCTAGCCCCTACCTTCAAACAGCTCCTGATCCAATTGGGGGACTGGCTATATACTCCTCTAACACCAAGCCTGGGCAACCCATGGAAATTTTCACAGAGGAGCAATAAACAACGTGCTGCCTGGAAAAAAAAAAACCCTCCCATACCCACAGTTATAAATGAGTCCCCGCCTCCCCCTCTGCATGTCATGGGAAAGTTCGAGGCTTGTTGGGAAGGGTTGGAGAACTTGGGCAAGGCCAAGGCAGCTTGGCAGATAAATAGCATCAAGGAGGCAGACAGTCCAGACAGTCCATATCCAGAGAGTCAGCCCTCACACTAGGGTCCTTCACAGAACCTTGCAGAGGGGTCTACTGCCTATATCCCAGGCTGTAGTGGAGGCCAGCAGGCAGTAGCTCTGGGTACGGTTTCCCTCTGGAAGACTCTGGAGATGGAGCAGACAGGCAGGACTAGGAACAGACAGTCACACATCATGCTGGGTAGAGGAATAGCCAGGGCTCAGGCAAGGGCTCCACCTTAGCTCCCCCAACCCAGGAGGCGTTTCTCCAAGGGGCCAGCACACTGTTTGTTTGCATTTCAGCTAAATTGCTCCCAAGGGTGAGTCTTTGTTTCACAACGTATTTTCAGCCAGACTTTTTCTGCAAACATGTTCATGTCTGTTCACAAAAACACATGCCCATGTCCCAAAGGCAGGCACTGCCCCGCCCCACAATAGCCTTCTCTTCCTCTTAGCTTTCCTGCGTGACCAGCTGAAACAGAAGAATGGGGCAGCTTGAGGAGGAGCACTGGAGGGCAGGCCTCCTGGCACCCTTAGCTCCACTCAACTCCACTCTGCTTGGCTTACTTTCCATGTCATCAAAGGCAGTGGGGGTTTGGACTGGTGGCAAGAAGCTATGCATGCTGTCCCTCACTGAACCTGAACAGTGGGCTGCTCCTTTTAATTAGTCCCCAGAACTTGGGTCTGTCCTGAGGCTGTGGGGAGTGGAGGTGTGACCTGTGAGGAGGAACCCCATCTTCCTCCTAGCTCGCTGGTGACTCCAGGTACTCCAGGATCCATTAGTAGGTGGCAGGGAGGCTCCAGGTTCTACTCAGGCCTCCTGGTTCTTAGAAGTATGGTAATTCCCAGATAGTCAGGGGTGGAGAAATCCCCTTATTTTATGGGGCCAAGGAGAACCAGAGAGGGGTGTGGCAGGGGCAGAGTAGGCTTGAAGACTCAAGTATCTCCCTCTCCCTTCACCCCACTTCCCTCATTCTTCCTCCTACTCCTCCCTCTCCTCTCTTCCTCTCTCCTCTCTATTCTCTCTCTCTCTCTCTCTCTCTCTCTCTCTCTCTCTCTCTCTCCCTCTCCCCCCTCTCTTTCTCACCCCCCCACACACACATGCATGCAGTCATGTTTATTTTATATCTCATGTCTAACACACTCTCTCTTCTTTATAATGGAGAACTCATGATAAGTTTGGGGGTTGGGGATGGTCTGGTTAGTCACTAAAGCCAATGAGAATGTTCTGGGTCCCTGTCCCCCAAGAGACATGCATTTATCCCTTTGTCCCCAGCACAGCAGTCCCCCAGGAAAAGGAATAGCAGTTCTTCCAAAGGCCTGCAACCCAGCACACCTGCCCTGTGGTTGGTCCCCAAGGAGTGGCACTCTCATCTGCTCAGGCTTAGTCCCACTGCCCTACCCAACAATCCACCCTTTCTGAGATGAACTTTACAGGGTTGTGGACATGGATGAATAAAATTCAAAGCCCCTCCCTATGGCCTCCCTCCAGAAATGATTTGGGGCCTCATCCCAGCAAGTCTGTAGGAGGGGCTCAGGAGAACAGGTTTCAGACCCAGCCCTGTCCTGGTCTTGCTGGACAATCCCGGGGCCATGTTCCTCCTCTCTAAGACTCAGTTTCCTCCTGGGGAAGTGAAAAGTTTTCTGGTCACTTCCGGTAGATTTCCTCTGATTGAGTCTCTGTAACACCTGGCCCGGACAAGCTGCTGCACAAGCACTTCCCCACAGGCACTTGCTGGCCTGAGCCCAACAGGAAGGACCTGCAAGCTGTGCCCCTAAGGAGGCCCCTGCAGGGCTGGGAACAGTGGCAGGGGGGAAGGAGGGAGAAACAGAGCCTCACATGAGTCCTGGATTCAAGAAACTCAGCCACTAGGGTTTGCCATCACTGAACTTTTATTGAGCATTTTCTCTGTGCAGAACCCTGTGCACAATGTGGAAGGAAACAGGAGAACATAGCCAAGCCCCTGCCACATAGGATGGAACAAAAGGGACAAGATGGTCACTGTGGAGTCCTGATGGACAGGCAGGAAGCACCTGCCACTGGTGTTACTGTGAGGATCATATGGTCCCCACTTGACCCTCCAAAGGGCTGCATCTCAGCCCTTTTGGATCTTCCTGCACCTCCCAGCAGCTAAAGGCCTCCCCCAGCAGGGGGTCCAACCAGAGTTAGAAAATGGCCCTGCTGCTGCTGGGAGCTGCTGGGAAACAGAAGGAGGAAGGGCAAGGGTGGCCCAGGGAAAGAAAGGAATAAAGGGAAGGAGGAGAAAGCTCTGTTGGTAGGATGGCTGGTGAAGCATCACTGGCGAATCCACAGCCACAGGTTGACTATGCAGACCGACAGCAGCATGCTAAAGAGCATAACTTCCCTGTGGGTTCTGGCAATTTCCTGGTCCTCCAGGGTGCTCAGACGCTCATTGTTCACACGCTGCTGCAGAGAGACCAACAGCAGGCTGGTAAGCAAAGCTGTTCTAGGGAAGCCCATGGCCCACCAATTGGAAAAAAGTATAAAGTTCGAACAGGAAGGGACTTTGCTGCCTTTTGGAGGGGGGACTACCTCTGGGTAAGAAGCGGCTGATACCAGGGGCCTGGAGTGGGATGGGCTGCCTAAGTTTGCAGGCCCAGCTGCTTTGCACCATCCTCTGAATGTATCAGTTGTCTTGATGAAGCCAGTCCTTCCCAGCTGTGCAGGGTGAGGAGGGAAGGGCATTTTAATCCTGAGGAGGGCTGCTGTGGAGGAAGCAGCAGCACTGGAGTGAGGGCTCCAAGATGGGGTAACACTCAGGAGCCAGAGAGGGCCATTAGGCTGATAACCCTCCACACCCACATCCGTGTCCATGGCTTCTGCAGTCTTTGCCCACCCAAGACCCCTATCTCAGACCTCTTAGTCATTCTCTCTGTATAGATGCCACCATCTTCTTACATCCCTCTTCGTCATCTTTTTCTCTTCGTGTTAAAGCTGACTTAAGGCTGACAGCAAGATGAGACTTGGGTGCCATGGGCATTGAGAGTAGGGGAGGAGAGCCTGACCTCAATTTGGCTGCTAGAGGGTGAGATGATTGGAATGGCTATGCAACCTCAAGGGGGATGGTTTATTGCTGTTGAGGCCCACCTACCCCCAAAGCACCAAGATTCTGCCTCCACCCACCAAGTGAGTCCCCAGCACAGCAGACATTCACCTGTTTTCTTATGGCTTCTATCTCCAGTTCATGTGTCTCTTCCAAGCCAATCTCTGCAATTATATCTGCCTCTGAGTTGCTGGGAAATAAGAAAAGACAGCAACTCAGAGGTGCTGGTTGTCCCAGGCCAGGCCTGGCAGGAAGCACAGGAAAGCCATGAGGGCAAGTGAATAAGATCAGGGGCTTCTCTGGACAGTGACTCTGTCAGCCTCTAGTCCTCCCCTTCCTTGGTAAGCATGTCCTAGGGCCTGAGGGCTGGGACCCAGCCCAGCCCAGCTGAAGAGCACTCAGAGGACTCAAATAGGCAAGGGGCCAGGAGGCTCATGGGCTGTAGTGAGGAAGCAACACGTCTCCAACAAGCTGCTCCCAAGCCCTTCCTGGTCAATCTCCTGGCCAGACTCTCTGGCCCACCCCGGTCCCTGCCCAGGAAGCTCCTCCTTTCCTCTTGTAGGGTCTCTGGGATCCATCTTACCGCTCAGAATGGAATCTTTTGCCATGGAAGCTGCCAGAACACTCCTGGGGATGACCATCCTCATGGCCTTGTTCTCTTGCCATTCTGCGTACCGGCAGATGAGAACCCTAAGTAAAGAAATGGTCAGTCAAAGGAACCTTCATAGCCCCAGCTGAGAAATGTGGCTGCCCCACACTTTGCCCAGGTACACCCGCCCCCAGGAGTCACATGGTGTCTGATCCTCCAGAATCAAGGGCTTGAAGTTTCAGACCATTAGGGGAGCCTTGGAGACTCACAAGGATGCATGGTATCAGGATAAAAGTCTGGCTACTGGGAAACCATAGCCCCTTTCTCTTTCTCTGGGTGAGCCCAGCCATCCCCATGTCTTTCATTTCTATCCATTTCCTAATAACTGGAGTGGATGTCTCTGGCCCAGAGCTCTGGGGCCAGAGGTATCTCATGCCTTGAAGAGCTAGTGTGAGCTAGAGGAGCAGAATGTGACAGACCCACCTCAGCTCTGGGTTTCCCATGCAAGATGAAATATCTTACAATATGTTTGTTTAACACACACTTACCACATGCCAAGGACCATGTCATCCTCTAAGCCCATACCAATATCAAGCCATTAAATCCTCATCATGACTCTTCAAAACAGGTATTACTATCATCCCATTTTGAAATTTGGGAAAACAGATACACAGAGAGGTCAAATAGCTTGCCCAACTCACATAACTGATAGGTAGCAGAGCAGTAATTTGAACCCAGGACATTTTGTTCCAGAGGTTGTTCTCTTAACCATTACACTGTGATACCTCTCATACTTGACATTGCTCCCCCTTAATACTCCATTAAAGTGACAGTGAAGACAGTAAAATGGTATAAGCCCATAGGAAAGAAGATAGTGTAAGAGCCAACAGAGAATGAAAGAGTTCAACAACACTGTAGAATTCAGAAAGTATCAATAAGGAATGAAGCAAGCCTCAGTGTGGCTCAGAAGCAAACGAGGAGCAACTGAGGGTGGTCCCCACCTGGCAGTGCTCAGAAAGGCCTGGGACTTGGAGGCTGCAGGGACACTGGGGTGGTCTTGAGGACCAAGGTGGAAAACAGGGGCATTAACTGAAGGTATATACATGGAACAATTATCTGCCCCTCCCACCCAACCTGGCTGGCAGTCAGGAACTTACTTCCTTAAAACAGGTACTCTTGCTCCCCAGCCTTGTTGCCTTTCCCCAGTAACCTTTGCAACAGTGTAAACCATTTTTCTAAAACTTGCCTTCATCCACTGGTGAATGTAGCTAACAGAATTGGCTACAGAAATACTGGACTCAAATGATTCCCTAAAACAAACAGGTCTTTCTTCTCTCCCAAAGAGCTGCCTTTTCCCTGTATCCTTTGCAACAATATGGCCACCATTTTTTCTAGAATATTCCCTTTTGTAGCTTAAAGGATTGGCTACAAAATGGTCAGATTCCATTGACTGGATTTCCTAACAGCCAGAAAGCAAAAGGAACCTCACTTGCCTTACCATTGTCCCAGCCCTGATATATATAATTTTGTATTTAAATATATTTGTGTTAAAAAAATAAAACATTCAAAATAAATAACTAAATACATTTGTATTTTAAATATTTATATTTCTATATTTATATATAGACATATATTTATATATAAATACAGAAATATAGACATATTTATAGAGAGAGCAATATATACTTATTTATTTCTTAAATACAGGGGAGTATCATTTCACAGACACTGGAGTTTTGCAGAATAAATATATATGCTCCAGGCACTCTGGACTCTCAAGGCTTAATTCCCAGCCTGAAAAGATGGCTCTGACCTCTTGCTGAATGCCCCTATCCTCATTTGCCTGCTTCTTCCTCTCCCCTCAAGTCAACATCTTGCCCTGCTTGAACTACCATCATCAGGCTGGAGCCCCTACAGCCAGTACTACCATCCCAACCCAGCCACCACATGCCAAAGGCCCCATAAAGTACCATTTTCCTGGACCGGGAGTTGGTCACATTGCAAACCTGTTGGCCTCCAGCAGAGCCAGCAGCCTTTGACTCCAACCTCTGTCGCCGCTGAGAAGTACCAAGGGACTGGGATCCATGATCTATTATTTCTGGGAGGAAGAACAAAGGCTGTAAGAACACCCATAGAGGCTTTACCAAGGTTTCATGGGCACAGGACACACCAGAAAGAGGTTGGGTCCCCAGACTTCTTAGGAAACACTCAACACCCATTCACTGCTGTCCACTGGCCAAACCCAGGCCACAGTTTGTTCATTTGTTCAAAAGATTAGCAAGTATTTACTGAGGGCTAAGCTCTTGTGGTAAGTTACTGGGGAGAGCTCAATGACCAAGAGACAAGATCACAGCAATCAAGACACTATCTGTATACAAGGAGTAAGGGAACAAAACAGAAAACAAGCCATCACTATAGAGTCAAATCAAGAGACATATGTTTCCAAAATGTATGAAAACAAGACAGAAGAAGGCATTGGAGGGTTAAGAGAGAAAATTAATCAGATGGATCTTGTATTAAGCCCTCTGAGTGTTTTTGCAATAGACTCAGTGGTGGCTTGGACATGTTGAGTCTGCAAAATGTTCATATCGACCCATTTCCCCCCAGCTCTCTATCACTGAAGCCACGATACATGTATATGGACACCAAGGTACAGATAGTTGCACATACCCACCCATGCATTCAAAAACACATACATGCATATAGATGAGTGTCTGTTAAGCCACACACATACTCTCTCCATCACACATGCACAGGTGCAGACAACCAAGAGAAGGGACATTTCAGGGGATCCTCACCTGCTATCACCAGGTGTTCTTGATTTTTACCATGGCTTACAGAAACCAGGTCTTCATCCATGGACATTTCCATTTCCTCCTTGATGCTAAGGGGCCCTCCTGCCATAACAACCAGTTATTCACTTGTAAGCGATGACCAAGGATGCACAGGGAGCAAGGCAGAGATGAAGCACTCGGAAAATGAGTGCTTTGAGGCGTCAGAACTCTGGGAAATATATCCTGACATGGGGGTGGAGCCAGATTCCCATTTATACTCAATCTTTGGACCAGCACCTTCTGTTCCTGCTGTATCTTTTTGGCTGGGTTTGTGGCCTTCTCCCCTGCTACTCTGTAAGCAACATAGGAGAAGAGATAAGGCTCAGGACGTTTGCCTGTGAGAACTTCCCTGGCTCTCAGGTCACCTGATTTGGCCCTATTGGAGTGCATATGTTCATCTTCCACAATTTTGAGAGAGGCAAGGACTGGCACAGGACCCCAGAGTCAGTCAGTGGCCAGAGCAGGGTTAGATCTCAGGCCTGTTGTGGCTTCTGTAAGCCCAACTCTGGTTAGAGGTATCCTCTGAAGGCATCCTCTGCAGAGTACATCCTGCCTCCCCCATTCCAGAGTTCCCAAGTCGGGGGAGGGGGGGGAGATGGTCTTTGGATGTCCTGAAGTCAGCATGTGCAAGAACAGTGAGAACCAAAGGAGGGAAGAGCAGGAGAGGAGGACTTGCCTGTCAACACTATAGCCTCCAGGGTTCCCAAGCCCTTCACCCTCTGATCTAAATCCAAATTCTCCCTCAGCTTCCTTGCTGATTAGATTACTGTGAAGATGTGGCCACTTGGCTAGCTTACAGTCCCCAGTTATTCCATCAAACGCTAGTCTAGGTATTGCTGTGCAGGTATTTTGTAGCTGTGGTTACACAATTATTGGGCTTTAAGTAAAGAAGACAACTAACACTCAATAATATGGGTTGGCCTCACCCAATCAGTTGGAAGGTCTTAAGAGCAAACACTGAGGTTACCTGGAGAAGAAAGTCTGTCTCAAGACTGCAGCATCAACTCCCACTTAAGCCTGTTGGCCAGCTCTGCAAATTTTGGGCTTGTTAGCCCCACAATGGCTTGAACCAATTTAAGTACATTTCTATATACATACACATACACGTATATATATACATTCATTCATCTTACTAGTTCCTTTTCTCTGAGGAGCCCTGGTTGATACGACCAACAAAGGTTCTATAGGTCAGCTCTTGGGAACACCCCAGAGCCTAGGGGAAGAAGCTGTTTGTTTGTTTGTTTGTTTGTTTATTGACAATGTTACAGATGACACCCATTTTTCCTCCTTTCCCCAATCTACCCAGTCCCTGCCCCACTCCAGGCCTTCATCACACTGCTGTCTGTGTCCATGGGCTATGCATTTATGTTTATAAGTTCTTTGGTTAATCTTGTCCTGTCCCCACACCCCTGTCAGCTCTTCTCCAGAGAGATTGGTTCCAGAGCTAGACAGGTGGGGCCAGGGAGGGGGACAGGCAGCGAAAGATCACGCCACCCTCTCTAAGCAAGTCCTGGAGCAGAGCTGACATAGGCCCTGCCTGCATTCCTGAGGGCCCCTGAAGAAGCCCTTCCCAGCTCCAGCCGAGCAACTGCCATGAAATATGAGCTTTCTGGAGGGCACCTTAGGGGCAGAGAAGTGTACTCTGTGGGACTGAGGAGCTTGGGAAGCAGGAGCCATGGATTTCTGCCAGAGCAGGCTTACTAGATTGAGGAAATAAAAATACAGAATGTCACCTGAATTTGAATTTCAAATCAACAACAAATATTTTTTTTTAGTGTAGAATGCTCCATGTAACATTTGGGACATACTTACACTAATCTTATTCATGGTTTAGCTGGCATTCACATTTAACTGGGTATTCGTATTTTATCTGGCAACCCTATGCTCTGCCCATCCTCACCATGATCTCAGTATTTGAGCTTGAGCAAGTCTTTCCTTTCTTGGGGCCTCAGTCTCCCCATTAAATGATAAACAATCCTCTCCTGGCTGGTTTGGGAGAGCACTCAAGTCAACAGAGTCAAAATAGTGCAGACAGGCACAGGCAGGACTTTGCATTATTAACCTCAAATCAGATTACCCTCTGACTGCCAATTGCCTTGACCCATTGGGACTTCCTGGGCACTGGGGCACTAGGCCTACAGAGGCACTGCTCCCTAGTGGCAGAAGAACCCACCACCTAAAGCCAAGCAAAATGGGTAGGGAGACTTCCCTTCCAATCTCCCAATGAGACCCAGAAACCCTGGCACTTTACCTTGGGCACCAAGGATGATGGGGCAGTGGGAGACAAAATTTGCATGCTGTTTCTTTCTCACCCCTTCTTTGGCAGGGGAGATATGAGTTGCAGAATAGCATGGACATAAGACATAAACTGCCACAGGCAAGTTGCCCAGAGAATGAAAGGATATGTGGCTTTGTTAAGGGCAGACAGAAGAAGGGGCTTGAATTTGTCCCTTAACATGTCTCTCTAGCATGCAAAACTTTTCCCTCCACCATAATTTTCTTCTGAAATTGTTCCAAACTCTCATTCGAAACACTCAGAAAAGCCCCCCCCCCCCACTGTCTAGTATGTCAGCCTCAGGGGCCTGAAGGACTAGAGTATCTAGAGTTCAGAGAGATTTGCCAAGTCTTATGGGGACAGGAGGATGGCCCATGGCCAAGTGTCAGTGATGGGCTGCAGAGACCTAGACCCCAGTAGAAGATTCCCAGAGGATGGAGCCAGGGGACCCAAAGCTCTTCCCACCTCAGAGATTAGACACTTCTGGAAAAAGGAGGGTGAGATCTAGAGAACATCTGGCTTAGATGTGCGTGTGTGTGTGTGTGTGTGTGTACACACACGCAGTGTTTTACACAAATGAGATCATACATTTGAGATACTTGTTGTTCTGCAACTTTTTTAGGTGAATTGTGTCCTTTGGGGGACCTCCCATGTCAGAACAAATGTACCTCACATCTTTTAAGCACAGCAAGCATTTTGCTGCACAGCTGCACCCCTGTTTATTGGCATGCTCATGGGCATTTGGGATATCTAGAGCTTTTCTTTTATAAACAATGTTGCAGTGAACATTACTGACCATGCCTCTGCACACATGGGTGCATGTTTTTATAAAGCAGGTGCTAGAAGAGGTATTGTGGGGTCCTAGAATATGTGTTGATAATTTTGACTGATATTATCAATGTCCCCTTTAAAAGGCATCATTATGATGGACGAAAAATGATAGCTATTGCATTGTTGCTTTAATTTATATTGCTTTAATTATGACGAAACCTGAGCAACTTTTCATGTTTATTGATCTCTGTTCCTTTCCTGTGAAATGTCTGCTGGAGGGCTTGGGCCTTTATTAAAATAAGAGCACCTTTATTAACAGAAAGGGATGGGGGCAAAAGCTTTACCTCCCTTCAAGTTAAACATCCCCAAAGAAAACATATCATCATTTTCCCTAAAGGTGATTGTGAGCACAGAGCATCCACTGGGGACCAAACAAACACAGTTAATTGCATCCAAGTTTGTGCTGAAATCTAGAGGGTGTCCAGCCCGCACAGAACAAGTGTGCAACACAGGTAGGTGTTGCCTTCCTATCTGCCTATTGGCCCTTGTCTTGTGTCTGTCTCTTTGCCTGTCCCACCACATGCCTCCACCAATGCCTTCCCACCACTGGCCTCTCCCAGCTGTTTAACCAATCATGTACTCTACTTAGATTCTCAAACAGCTTGAGGTCTGATGGCCTGTGTGCTACCTGTTCCTACCTCTCTTGCAAACAGTAATGGTGGTTGGCAGAGACACAGGCCCAGGGTCAGTACACCTGGGGGTGACCTCTAGATCTGACACTGGTCATCCTAAGAAAGTTGCTTCCTCTGCTCTAAGCCTCAGATCCCCATCTTCACATGAAAGATTGGGCTAAAATCCTGTTTCAAATTGTGTTTCTTGGTTTCAGGGAGGTGTGAAATCTTACCATTTGCAACAGCATGGATAGACCTAGAGGGTATTATGTTAAGTGAACTAAGTCAGTCAGAGAAAGACAAATACTATATGATTTCACTTACGTGTGGAATCTAAAGAACAAAATTAATAAACAGCAAAAAAGCACAAAAAAATAGAAACAGACTAATAATAGATACAGAGAACAGACTGATGGTTAACAGGTGGGATGGGTGTTAGAGGACTGGGTGAAAAAAGTGAAGAGGTTCGGCAGTACAGATCGATAGTTACAGAAAAGTCACAGTGATATAAAGTACAGAATAGGGAATATAGTCAATAGTATTATAGTAACTATGTATAGCGCCAGGTGGGTAGTGAAAATATCAGGGAAACACTTTGTAAAGTATAAGATTGTCTGACCAGTATGCTGTACTCCTGAAACTAATACAAAATAATATTGAACGTAAATAAATAAATAAATAAATAACAGGAAACAATTGTTACATGCAATACTATTAGACTGTAGCTCTATAAAACCCTTTGATTTGATTTGATCACACTTTTAACTGCAGGTTATTGTTTATTAAGAAAAGAAAGGAAGAAAAAAAGGAAAATTAAAGGAGAAAGAAAGATAAAATATAATTTTAAATGCCAAAGGGCACAATTGTCTGCTGCCTTCTCTGCTTGGAGCCCCATCCCAGGCAGCTACAACTCCAAACCCAAGCAAGCAAGCAAGCCGGATTTGGGCTGCAAACCCAGATTTCCTAGGCATCTGAGAGCTTCCTCTCCACCTGATAATAAAACTTATGAACCTGTAAACAATTTTTCTTCCTGCTCCTGGAAGCAGCTGGTACTGAGGTCATCCCTGGAGCCCCAGACCCTCCCCCATCCAGAGGGGAAGGGGAAGTGGAAGGGAAAAAGAAAGGGGGACTAGCAGAGCCTTGCAGCTGTCTTTCTTTTTCTTAAAGAGACAGGAAGGACAGAGGAGCAAACTGCAGGGACTGAACTGGCCCAGGGAAGGAGGGTCACCTCATAAAAAGAGAGGAGTAAGTGGTAGGACCACCTAGGGTAGTCCTTGGGACCCAGCCCCCATAGGGACAAGGCAACCAGCAGGAGGTTACAGGGAGCACCTAGATTTCTAAGTGTGGGCTCCT